GCTGCCAAAAAAGTAGACCCGACTTCTGTTGAGATATCCCGATCTGCTGCAGGGACAAAAGTAAGTCACATGGTCGTTAGAAGACATTTTTTACGCGTTGCTATATTTTATCCACGGCCTTGATCACTTGGTGTTCACATATGTGTTATCTTTTATTTTTAAGCTTGTCTCAGTTGAAAACCCTAATGGTGCTTACAAGGGGCTTGTACGCATTGTTGGGCTTTTCGATGCCGGGAGCCGCTACGAGAAGGATCTTGAATCTCGTGGAATTACCCATTTGCTACGACGTTCTTGTGGTTTATCAACCAAGGAGCTTACTCAAGTAAATCTTACTCGTCATCTCAACCAGATGGGTGCATCGTTAAGGTAAATACTTTGTGACATCCGTTGGGCTAACTAAATAAACACATCACATTATTATTTTTGCTTTCAGATGCGCCACTTCTCGGGAGCATTTGATTTTTTCAATTGATGCGCCGTCCTGCTTTGCCCACAGAGCTGCTCAACTACTTGCCACAACAGCCACACAAACACTCTTTTTTCACTGGGAGCTGAAAGATGTAGTATATCCCCTTATGGAGTATGACGTAGAAGTCCTAAGTCGACGCCGCTTAGATGCACGTAGGCTTATGGTTTGCTAATTCACGTCTCCGCAACTTCTTGAATACACAATATTTTCAGTATTATTTGTAAAATGGTTGCTTATTCAACATATCCTTTATCTGTAGCTACATTTTTTTTATTTCTCAATTTATGTCTGACAGTAGCCTCCGAGCTGCTACACGAAGCCGCCTTTGGTACCCATCCGTCCGGCACAGGGCTTGGCAATTCTTTGTATGCCCCTAAGTCTATGCTAACTTGGTTTACGGAGGACGCGATTTCCTCTTTTACTTCTTCTTACCTTCGTCCAGATCGACTAGTCTTGGCAGTTGTTGGCCATCATAATGGACAAGAGCTTTTACAATCAACTACAAAGCACATTGACTTACTCGATACGAATCCTAGTAATACATCCAAAGAGCATAAGGAAGATTCTAAACCCCACGGGTTTGTAGGAGGTAATATTGCTTATTTCTTCCAAGTTGCATATGTGTGGACCATTATTAAACTTATGTATTCTATTTGACTACTAAAGGAGAAATCCGTCGTGAAAACCATCTTTCTCACAGCAATCATTTACTTCTCGCTTGGCCTACATCTGGCAACAAAGATTTGAAAAACCATCTATCCTTAGCTGTGATCTCTAGAGCCCTTTCTGGATCTGCTGGCCGCATTTCTCACACGACTACAGCTTACTCAGGAAATCGCCTTAATTCCTCCTTTGGTGAAAGTCCGGAAATTGATTCTCTTGCCATGGCCTCTGGCCTGTACGAGTCATACACTGACCATGGTATTTTTGGTTTCGCGGTGACGGCCAAATGTGGGAAAGCATTGGCCAGGCGAGCCCAGCATTGCGCAAAGGTTATCCACAAGACCTTGGGGGATGAAGAGGTCCTCCGTGGCAAGTGAGTTTTGAATCTTCTCTTTCATTATGGCTCTTTTGGAAGAGTTGATATTCACAATTACTTGCTTTTCAGAGCCCTCTTAAAAGCTGATTTATCTATTGGTTTCGAAAGTAGCCTTTCTTTAGCAAATGATTTGGCGCTACAGATTGCACGTAATGAGAGCAATACTTATCTACAGCCTGACCAACTTTTAAGTTCAATTGAAAAATTAACAACTCAGGATATTAATCAGGTAAGGTCATTTTCTCAATTTGCCTGTTCTTTTACCGAATAATGCCCATCCAGTAATTTTTTAAAAACATGGTCTGCTATTTTGCTTTCAATACTAAGTTCCGTTTCACACTTTTATCATGTTTTTTTTCAGGCTATGAAAAAGGTCCTTTCATCTCCAAAGACTGCCATGTCCGTCGTTGGCTCAAACACTCACTTAGTTCCTCACAGAAGCATTCTTCTATCTTCATAGTAGCTTATTGCAGAATATATCACGAATTGTTCCTTGTTTATCTGATATTCGTCCAATTCTAATTTGGAGCTAGTTCTTTCATCCTAAACCTATACTGTGTTCTTTGTATCTAATGCTTTACCTCCAGTTCTAGAGGTGGGAAGTGTTG